TATATATATATATATATATATATATATTAGAGCTTTATGTCCAGCAATGCCCCTGTAATATACTTTTCTGATATTATAATACTTTTTGTGTTGTTATTTTATTGGTCAAAAAATCAATTTGTGATGTCAAATGAACGTCACGTTTTTGACATCAAGTTGATTTGCATTCTTAATGTTTATTATTATTTTATTACGATGAAGGTTGAGAAAGGCCCGCTGGTAAGTGCATACACTTTCAAATATATATGCTATAATTTTATATATATTTTCATAATCAGATTTCCACATGGGTTGTTTGACTAGCAGAATATTTACGCTCTCCTGAGTTACAATGCAAATAAATGGTGACAAAACTTCAAAATCTAAAAAAATTAACAGTATAAAAGCACCTAAAATCTTTCAGAATGACTCATGCGGATTCACATCTACATCATATGTATTTCTGCTATACTGGTGAGTCACTGGTTTCAGAATATCATTCCCTTTTGTTCCACGGAAGAAAGAAAGTAAGCCATACTGTCAGGGTTTGAAATGACACAAGCGTATAAGACACAAAATCTGAATTTAGAAACTACGAAAAGTGCAAAACTAAGAGGAAATGAAATCAGAAATAACAGATCTCAGCAGTTTAAAACACATTTACACTACATCAAGCTATTTAGACATACATTGGATTGATTGGATTTACTGCATTCTTTTAAGTTAACTGGTTGCAAACAGTATATATGGGCTGAATTTAAACAAACAAATAAAGTTAGACATTACTTTTGTATAAATTAAGCCCACATAAATTGTTTGCAAACCTTAAATAAGGTAGCAAATCCAATGAATCACATCAAAACAAACCCAACCCTTCCATTCCCTCCATACATTCAGCTCCACAGTAACTCCCATTCAGAAGTGCCCGAATTCCCACAGTCCTCCGGCCGCTCATTCATTCAGGCTGTGCTAACACTTGTGCACCTATAGAGGGGGCTTCCATTGTGGCCCGGTTAAAGGGTACGGGGACAGAGAGCCGCACTGTTGTGGTACAAAAGGCCATTCTGTCCTGCGCCAGCGGCCCAACATGCCCTGATGTAGTTAGACACTTGAGCGCACTTCACAAGAGCCCCCCCCCCCTCCCGCTGTAAACCAATAAGCACAACGTATGAAGACCTGCTGATAGCTGCTCCTTATGAAATTTGGTTTTTCCACAATAATGTCAAAGGGAAATGTCATCCGCAGCCCATTTTGGTTCCATAATGAGAGAGCAGAATTGGAGAATTGAGGTCGTGACTTTATTCATCGAGAGTTGATTAGATCATGAAGAGTGGGTGTTTTATCGTTAAACAAAGACAGGTGGTTTTGGAGAAATTAGGTGACAGCTTAAGTTAAAAAAAAATGTGGATCATGAGGATAAACATTTGTTTTTGGAATAGGGTAAATCTGCAAAAAATAAAAACAATAGTAAATGTACTGTAGCTGCAAGCAGCAATTAAGGGACCAAGCAGTTCAGAGCCAGAAAGATTTGTCAGTGCCGTAAACAAAAACCATGTTGCCTATTGACACGGATTTCACAACACTTGTTCAATATGGTCAAAAGATGATCCAAGTCAAATTTGGTGATATTTCGGCAAACGGTCTTTGAGGAGTTTGCAAATGAATTTCTTAAATAAACCTAATATGGCAGACAGGAAGTTTAGGCAAAAATGGCATATTTGGTATCAGTGTTCTCGGCATGACCCAAGAAATAAGTTAAGATCAATTTTACTACAATAAACATATGCAGTTAGCACATTTTTGATTCATTATTGGGGGCGAGGCAGTGGCGCAGTAGGTAGTGCTGTCGCCTCACAGCAAGAAGGTCACTGGGTCGCTGGTTCGAACCTCGGCTCAGTTGCCGTTTCTGTGTGAAGTTTGCATGGGTTTCCTCCAGTTGCTCCGGTTTCCCCCCCATTCCAAAGATATGCCGTGCAGGTGAATTGATATGCGGTGCAGGTGAATTGTGTGGGCTAAATTGTCCATAGTGTATGAGTGTGTGTGTGGATGTTTCCCAGAGATGGGTTGCGGCTGGAAGGGCATCTGCTGCGTAAAAACTTGCTGGATAAGTTGGTGGTTCATTCGGATTAATAAAGGGACTAAGCCGACAAGAAAATGAATGAATGAATGATTCATTATTGACGGTTAGTGAATGGTTTATAACTCGTGACCACTAGGTGGCACTGTTACTAAATGTATGTGTTGTGGTTATTGTGAGTTGCCAAGGACACACCCAAAGTTTAGTGTCAGTTTGTTTAAGCCAGGGGTCTTCAAACTCAGTCCTGGAGGGCCCTGTAGATTTTAGCACCAACTTGCTGTTGTTTCTAGAAATCCTTGTAAGAGTTTGATTAGCTAGCCCAGGTGTGTCTGATTGGGGTTGGAACTAAACTTTGCGGAACATCGGCCCTCCAGGACCGAGTTTGGACATGCCTGGTTTAAGTATTGCAGAGTTACAGCCTCAGATTCACATCAAGCTAGCACATTTTTCGATACCGTAAATGACAACCGTTGCGCTGATCGATATGATTTCCATAACATTTGGTCAGCATTTTCTGAAGAAGATCAGAATCAAATTTGGTGACAACTAAATCAACGATAGAGAAGGAGTTCGCAAAAGAAGCTTTTTGAACAAATTCAATATGGCGGACAGGAAGTTGCCCAAACATGGCATGTTTGGTATTAATGTTCATGGCATGACCAAATGAATGATTTGATACTAATTTTACTACAATAAACCTATGCTGTCAACATTGATTAGCCATTTTGTAAGATCCATTATTGATGGTTAGTTAAGGGTTTTTAACGTGTGACCACAAGATGACGCTGTTACCAAATTTATGTGTTGTGGTTATTGTGAGGTGCCAGTGACACACCTAAAGTTCGGCGTCAATATAATTACAAGTTTCAGAATTACAGCCACAGACGATCTTTGACATGGTGCCAGAACATTCGTCGGTAGCGTAAACGGAAATCATGTCGAGTATCTGTCTGAAGAACATCAGAGTCAAGTTTGGCGAAAATCTGAAAATCTAAGAGGAGTTCGAAAATCAAATAGTTTCAATCCAAAAGCAAAATGGCAGACAGGAAGTTCAGTTCATTTTGGCATATTTGGTATCAATGTTCTCGGCATGATCCAGGGAATATAATAAGACACGCGTCATGTCAATAAAGAATGTTTAGCAAAAGTTATTAGCATTTTTCAATATTTGCTTATAACTTTTGGCCACAAGGTGGCACTGCTCCAGAAGTTTTATTACATAGATATCGTCTGAAGTCCAATTTAGCAAGCCCTACATTAGATTAGTTCACAAGTTAAACGAAAACGGTTGGTCTAATCAACTTGAGTTCAATAACTTTTGGTCAGCATGGTCTGTAGATTTTTGTTCAAAATCGAATAAGCGGCCTAGGACGAGTTTGATCAAATAGGTTTTGCAAAAAATTCGAAATAGCAGAATAATTTTCATGACGTTGATTGTAGCCCATTCAGTTCCAAAGTTAACGATAAACATAAGGTAAACCTTGGACAAGTGGTGGCGCTAGAGAGTTTGAGTTACAGACTTCAGGTTTGCTGTGGTTCATGTTGACACTGCCCTCTATCATTGTGCCAAATTATACAACTTTCTCGCATATGGTTATATGGGCTGCCATTTAAATCCGGTGGAAGAAGAAGAAGAAGAAGAGGAAGCGGAATAATAATAATAATAATAATAATAAAAAGGCTAACGGAAACAATACGTGCCTTCGCAGCTTTGCTGCTTGGCCCATAATAATAATAATTAAATATGAGGAATGTGGATTAAAGCTAATTAATGCCTAAACAGTAGCAAATTGTTTGTAATGGGAAGATTACGGTTTGATTCTGTGGTAATAAATGAACTGATAAAACACAAACATGAACGTCTACCAACTGCCAAATATGGAAATATGTTATTTCATATGCTTGCATCAGTAATATAATAAGTACATGTTGGAGGCTTGTGGCGTGTGAGGAATTTCAATCGAAATGTAGACCATATTACTGAAAGCTGTGCTCATTAAAGTAACAAATGACCTGCTGTTATCTTCTGATATTATCATCTCTCTCTCTCTCTCTCTCTCTCTCATTATTATTATTATTACTAGAACATCATGTAGCCTTTACAACTATTACCAACAATATACACTCACTTTATTAGGTAAACCTGTTCAACTGCACGTTAACACAAACTTCTAATCAGCCAATCACAAGGCAGCAACTCAATGCATTTAGGCATGTAGACAAGGTCAAGAAAATCTGCTGCAGTTCAAATCGAGCATCA